ACGCGGCCGTAGGCGCGGCCGTAGGCGATGCCGAGGGCGCGGTCGTGGGCGATGCGGTGGGCTCAACCGTGGGCGAGGTCGTCGGCGCGGCTGTCGGTGATGCCGAGGGCTCAACCGTCGGCATGCCCGTCGGACTGGCAGAAGTGACCGTAGGAGCACTCGTGGGATCGGCCGTCGACGCGGCCGTCGGCGCGGCCGTTGGCGCGAGCGTCGGCGAGCCCGTCGGCGACTTTGTGTGGCCGGTAATCGTAGGCGCGAACGAGGCCGTCGGCGCGAGCGTCGGCGACGCCGTGGGCGACACCGTGCCCGTGGGCGACATCGTGGGCGCCATCGTGGGCGACACCGTCGGACTGGCAGTCGGCGCGATCGTCGGCGATACCGTGGGCGACACCGTGCCGGTGGGCGCGCTCGTCGGACTGGCGGTCGGCGACATCGTGGGCGACACCGTGGGCGCGCTCGTCGGACTGGCGGTCGGCGCCATCGTGGGCGACACCGTGGGCGCAGCAGTCGGCGATTTGCTCACCGTAGGCGCGCTCGTCGGACTGGCCGTCGGCGCGGGGCTCACCGTCGGCGCCATCGTCGGGCAGCCCAGGATCATGCTCGAGGCGCCCGCGAAGTAGAAGAGGCGACCCGAGTTGCCCTTGCTTCCCTCGCTGTCGACGTCGAGCGTGAGCTCGAAGGAGGAGCGGTGCTCGAGGCCGAGCGTCACCGTGCGGTCCTCCTGGTCCACGGGGCAGGCGCCGTGCGAGTCGCAGGCCTCGCAGGACACCGTCCCGAGCTCCATGGGGCCGGACGGGTTGTCGCAGCCGTCGCCCGTGCCCGTCGCGAGGAAGCGGACGGAGTGTCCCGGCGTCGCGCCGTCGCAGAGCGTCGCCTGCTCCGTGATGTTGACCTCGGCGGTCGCGCCGCTCGGCGCGAAGTACGACGTCACGCCGTGGGCGACGTCGTCGACGCACAGACCCTCGGCGCGGCCGCTCTCCATCGTGTCGAAGTCGAAGAGCGTGAAGTAGAAGCTGTCGAGCGTCACGGGCGCGTCGCCGTCGTCGGGGTCGACGAAGTCGAAGCGGAGGCGCACTCCCGTGCCGATGCGCACGTTGATCTTGCCGAAGCCCTTGGTGGCGCCGTTGCAGCCGTTGCACGACGTCGTCGGCTCGTAGTGGGACCGGTTGGAGACGATCAAATCGAACACCTTGCCGCACCGGGTACGTCGCGACCGACGTGAACCGCAGCACCTGCCCCGGGGCGCTGCAGGCCGGCTTGCCCTTCATGCCCGCTTTCTTGCAGTCGCCGGCGACGCCGCCGAGGTTGTTCTGCGAGATGCCGCCGATGGAGAAGTCGATGTCGACGAACCCCTCGAGGCACTCGCCCGGCGTCGCCACGGCGATCGACGGCGCGCGCGTCGGCGCCGTCGTGGGCGAAGCCGTGGGGGTGCAGCTCGAGGCGTCCTCGCGGTACGCGTAGAGCTCGACGACGTCCGCGACGAAGTCTCCCTCGTCCGCGAAGACTGCCGGCATCCCGCCCTGGTACCCCGGAGAGAGCACCCCGACGCTGAACCACCAGGGCGTGTCGCCGATGCACCCGTCGAGTAGCGCGCGGTCCGTGTCGGCGATCTTGCACGGGGACTGCAGCCCGCCCCAGCGGCAATTCCCGGTCGTCATCGGGGTGAACGAGACGTCGAGCGCCTCGTAGCCTTCGACCGCCGCGCACCGCTCCGCGCGCACCGGATTCGACAGCTGCCGCCACGCGAGGTCGCCGCTGAGCGCGTGCGTCGCGCCGGGCCAGGCCAGGCGCAGCGTGAGTTTGCAGTCGTCGCCGCGGTAGTCGTCGAGCGTGTCGAGGACGCTGTACTGCGCGCTCGCCGGGTCGCCGGCGTTGACGACCCACTCGTCCTCCGAGCGGAACCAGCCGCCGCCGGGCTCCGCGGTCTGCCGGAAGACGAGCTCCCACTGGCCCGGGGGCAGGCTCGGCGGCGCCATCGTGGGCGACACCGTGGGGTTTCCGCGCGCGACGCCGACGGCCGCCGCGGCGAGCAGCGCGGCGAGCATCCCGCGCATCGTCGGGAGCCTGCGTGGGGGCGTGATGGTCTTCGAGTCGCCAAGAGAACGGTCTCCCCCGCATGGGCGCGACCTCGCCATCGCGCGCAGCGCCGCCTCGACGCAGGTCCGAGTCGTCGAACACCGTCTCCAAGAACGTTTCGCTCGGTCGGGCCCGTCGGGGGCGATTTGAAGCGCTCCGTCGACTCTCCGGTCCGTGGCGACGACGAACGCCCCCGCGAGCGACCCGCCCCCCTCAAAACGAACTCGATGACACCGGGCGTCACGCGCGGGCGGCCGAGCTTTTGGTGACGCCGCCTGGCGTATATATTCAGCGAGGCTGGATATTATCTTCATGCGAATAGTCTAGTATGAGAAGACCAAAGTTATTTTCATTGCCGGCGGGATGCGTGCGGGGGGCGCGGGCGTGCTTACCGTCTCGTGTCGCCAACTTTTAGGATTGGTTTCACAAGTGCTCATTGCCGTCGACTTGCGCCGCGACGACGCCCATGATGCGCATGCTGCCCAGTGTGTTGCTCGTCGCCTGCGTCGCGGCCCGGCGCCGGCCCGTGGCGGTGCCGCGGCTGGGCACCCACCCGACGTCGGCGAACTGCACGCTCCACCGCGTCTCCCAGAACCTGGACCACTTCGACTTCACAACCAACGCCACCTTCGAGCAGCGCGTCTTCGTGCACGCGGACCACTGGGCGCCCGGCGGACCCATCTTCCTCTACTGCGGCAACGAGGACGACGTCACGCTCTACGTCAACGCGACGGGGCTGATGTGGGAGCACGCGGCGGCCTTCGGCGCGATGCTCGTCTTCGTCGAGCACCGCTACTACGGCGCGACGCTGCCCTTCGGCGCCGCGTCCTTCGAGCCGGAGCACCTCCGCTACCTGTCGCACGAGCAGGCGCTCGCGGACCTCGTGAACGCGCTGCGGCGGATCAAGGCGACGTACGGCGCGGAAAACGCCAAGACCGTCGCCTTCGGCGGTTCCTACGGCGGCATGCTCGCGGCGTGGCTGCGCATGAAGTACCCCGCGGCCGTCGTCGGCGCCGTCGCCGCGAGCGCGCCAA